TACCGAAATTATAGACCAATCAGGTTGAAATTAAATATATGCTTATGATGCGAAAATCTTGGATATGATATTGATTTAAGGATACGATCTTGCAAAACTTTCTGTTATAATAGAGATAAGATTTTCTGTTTTGATTTTGTATTTATTGAATTGTTTTTTTAGAAAATCGATAGATGGTAATCGGATTAGATCTTGCAAACTTTCTGTTATAATAGAGATAAGATTTTCTGTTTTGATTTTCTATTTATTCAATTGTTTTTAAAAAAAAGAAATTTAGAAAATGGATAGGTGGTAATCGGATTAGCTGTTTGAATCTTGTGGGCATTAGCTGTTTGAATATGTGTATATGATTGGTAGTCCGATTTGATATTGAAATTAGAGTTATCTCTATATTACTTTTTAACAGTGACGTTATTATACCGTAGAATACATTATATAAACCAATATAGTTAATACATGCTCATGTTATATTGTGTGTTAGTTAATATTATATTTCTCTATATTATATTAGTGATGCACGTTTTATTGATACACATTTTAGATGCATGTAATATATCAGTGATGTTAGTGATGCAGTAAATGAGTTATCATTAATATACGTGAAAAAGACATGTTAGTGATGCAGATATTTTTTGGTTGATTAAATAACTCATTAATATAACTGAAAAAGACAAACATCTAAATAGGATGTTTAATTAATATAACTGAAAAAGACAAGCATTTAAATAGGAAGTTTAATTAAATTCTCAGTGGCATATGAGTGTAAATAAGTTAGAAAACTTAGGGGTATTTTTTAGTGGATACTTCTCTTTTAATAATAGAGATGCCTTCTGATAAAAAAAACTTTCTAGTTTAAAACTGGTTAAGTGATTGGTTTGGGGGGGGGTTTATTTTGAGTTTTTCATTTTTAACCAAAGCTTTTATGATAAGCATAGCGACTCACAAAACCAAATTGTCTTTGGATATTTTGTAATCTTTAACGAGTTTGCTCAGAGTTCCACTTTAAATCTTGAAAACTCTTAGCAAATCCTAAGCAAAATCTGAGCAAAAAAGATTATAAAACTAAATTCCAAAGACAAACTTGGTTTTGTTGCTTGCTCAAAGCTTTGAAGTTTCTTAAATGATTGGTGATGATTTTAAGCATTTTCTGATTCTTTCACTTTAGATTTTAAAGAAATACAAACAAATTAATAGATTCCAACAATTCCTTTAAATTTTATGAAATTTTTGAATCTTTATTATACTTTTAATTTGGCTATCTAATAAATAAATCTCCACACTTACATAGTCTTATGATCATTTATATATTCTTATAACAAAAATTTTAAACCATTGATAATATTATTTTTAATGTGAGAGATTTAATATTTACAATAATTCATCATTGATTAAAAAATAAATTCAAAGTTTGTCATTAAAGTATTAATTTATTAATACTTGTTCAATGCAATTTTGGAATAAAATATTTATGTATTTTTAAATGGTGTATAGTTTAATTTAAACATCACTAAAAATCGATATATATATATATATATACATAGAATTTTAATATCTGTTAAATGATACTTTTTATTCATTAATTATATAATTTTTGTATCATGCTATAACAAAAAATTTAAACTAGTATATGTGAAAATTTTGAAAGTTGTATTAATTTATAGTCCTTTTATTCAAATATAACATATATGAATAAAATATATTTTTTATTATAAATTTAATGTAATTGTTTAATTTATTTTCACAATATAAATTAACAAAAAATAGAGGCTATATTATTTTTTATCAAATCTTTCTTATACAAATCATTAATTGTCATATATATATATATATATATATATATATATATATATATATATATATATTATAACTATATTAGGTAATTCCGTAAATTTTATTTAAGGAAATAATGAATAACATTAGTACTAATAGTTTTATGTTTAGTTTAATAAAAATATATTTTATATGTTTATATGGACTAACATTTTTTTTAGTAAATTTGAGAAACATTCTTATGATCACATGTGACTACCAAAACATGTCGTAATGCTTCTCAATTAATATATAAAAGATATTAGTCCATTGAACTTTTAGGGGGTGGTATTGAATTTAAGAATTTAATTGAAAGAAGTCATAAGCAATAAACTTTGCAGTATTTTTAACGATTTGATGAGATTTTAATGCATTTCTCCAATTCTTATGTTTACTTCCTCTTATGGATTTCAAAGGAATGTAAATAATTTTAACAGAATATATCGTCAACAACCTTTAAAATTTTGTAACTAGTTTTTTTGTTATAAATACTATTTTATAGGGATTTTATGACTAGAAATTTTATGAGAGGTTTTAACATGATACATACTATTTTATAGGATTTTGGTTAGAGGATTTAATAGAAGCTCTTTAAAAAATAAGCTATGCAGAATCTGAAAACTTTCATTGTACAAGTATAAGGGTCACTTGCGAACACAACTCTTCTTCTTCTACCTCCTTTTGTTCTTCTTTATGTGTTTTTTCTGCATGACGAGACTCGAAAAATAAATATTGGTAGAAAAACGTTCGCTAACATGTGGTTCGATTGACAATATTGATGCAATTACGATTCATGCCAGCCTTCAGTCAAAACTTTTTGGTTCATGCCAAGAGGGAGGCTTGATGATGCACAGTCTTGTCGTTAATGGCCGTCTTCTTTTTTGAAAAGAAGAGAGAGATTATTTGTGTTTTCCAAAGTTAACAATTCTCTGCATGAAAGCAAGGAATTGATCCTTTACAAATTTACATTGCATTTTCCATTACATTCCTTTCAAATGACATTACTATAAAATCTATCAAATATTGAATAACACTAGAATTTAAAGTAAACAAAAACTTGATTGCAAATACTTAATCCAATAACATAGGACTTTATAAGAATTGATGAATTACCTAACTGAATAACAGTGGAATTTAATGAAAACTATAATTCCTTCTAATTCTATCAAAATTCTAAATCCAATACCCCCACCTTAGCAAATTCTATCGTCTTGCCGCCTCCTAGACTCCATGCATCGAACGAAGTAGACATCAAACACACCATGCCAGAAATTGTTGTCCATCTCTACATCGGACGCCTCTTGCTCATCAACAGACGTCTTTCCCAGCGACTTTGAGTGCTTTTTCACCATACTCAGGATCTCATGCCTGCCCACATCAATCAGCTTTAAAAAACAAACTCGAGGATCGAAATCACACACAATCTCAGTTCAATTTCAGCAATATATTACTTGAACGCTTTCAAATACACTCTGCAGATACAATAATTCTAAGCACGATCAAGAGGGATCGAATCACATCTTCCTCCTCCACAGGAAATCAACGAAGATCTACAGAGCGCACAATTGAAATTGAGATGCTGGATCCACCCTTCCAAGCACTGGTTGTGGAACACGTGTCTGCAATCCAGCTTCCTCACTTCTTCTCCTCCCTTGAGTGTAGACAAACAACGATGCAATCCGATGCAGTCGTCGGTGTAGTGGTACGAGAAGAGTCGATTGAGTTTGAGCTGGTCGACAAGCACGGCGAGATTCGCGAGTCCTCCCAAGTAAACGGAGGAAGAGGAGGCATCATCCACGGCAGATTTCAAAGATGCGAGAGAAAAAGAATCAACGATAGAGAAGAAGATAATGTAAGGATAATATTGTCTTTTGCTCATTAATGAATAAACAGACATGGCGAGCTTCCAACTCCTCGAGACAATTAATAAAAGATATTGATAAAGTCATTAGAGTATTAATAGACGATTTTTTATTAGTTAATGTCAAAAAACATATACATTGTCCAATTAGACTAATTCACTTACTTGGTATCCAATTTAGGTTCATTATTTTTAAAATACTAACAACAATGTACTTAAAATTCAATTATAAGTTCGAAATTAAAACTAATTAAAATATATTTAGATACTATAATTAGTTATAGTTAAAATAGATAATAAAATAAAACAAATAAAAATCCCCAAATCAGGGTCCATCCCCTAAACCCTAATCCACGCGCTCTCTCTCTCACTCACTCTCACATCCTCCCCCAACAAGTGCTCTATGTAGTGTATTCTCTCTGGACACGGCGTCTCTCTCGTCAGACGACACAGCATCTCTCTCGGACGAGAGCGACTGATCTCGGGTCTATTCCGGCATGATTCTCTCGTAAGACGACAAAGCATCTCTCTGGGACGAGAGCGACTGACCTCGGGTCTAATCCGGCGTGATTCTCTCGGAAGACGACACATCATCTCTCTCGGTAATGTCGCTCTGCTTTTCAATTGATTTTGCTTCTCCCATATGATTTATCTCACATTTGTTAATCTTAACCTCCATCTTCCAGCGATACTTGTGCTTAAAAATGGATATCAACATGGATTACCCGCCTACAAATCTTGACTACATTCATCATCTTCGGTTTGCTAACCAGAAAGAACTGAGGCAACAATCTTTTACAAAACTCCATCCGAAGGACGTTGAGTTCTTTTTGGGTCATGAGGTATTGTATGCAGCATCTGCTACTCGACCTCGACCATTATCTCCGTTATGTCTTTCCTGCGATGGGCAGGTAGGTGCTCTCACCTGGGAGACATCACCTCCTGTAATGGAAAAAAAATGATGAAGTGGGTGTCTGAACCTCAGTCTATAGTTGGGTACATAAGAAATCAGCGCAGTCATGTTCTTTGCTGGTGTTTTGCGCAAACTGACTTGCTAAGCTCAGAGTGTATACTTCACGGATGGGAAGATCAATACTGCCCTTTTTCTCCCTGGCATTTGTATGTCAGCTGTGACCCAGTCTTATTGGATCCTACAAGAAGGCTGGTCATAAGTGCTACCCATACAAGCTAAGGTCTGCTATGCATCACATTGACAGGTTCGGAGTTATCAAGGTTGAAGAATTTTAAAGGCGAAGTGATGTCAATCTTCCTTATGGACATGGTAATATGCATTAAACCATCTTCAGTAGACATAAATACTAGAATTTGAAGTATTTTAAATGATTGATGGGGATTTTAATGCATTTGTCTAAATTCTTTCATTTTAGATTTTAAATGAATAAAAATAAATTTGATAGATTCCAATCCCTTTAAATTTTATGAGTTTTTTGAATCTTTGTAATGCACAAAAAATGAAAAAAAATGTACTAATAAAAAAGAAAATCATAAGCATTTCCGTAACATATAGATAGAAAAAATCAATTTAAAAAGTGGAATGAAAACTCTACTAAAAAATGATATAGATCTAGATATAAGACTATGTTGGAATATTTATAGAACATTGTGTATCCCTTGAAATATGAATTGAAACATATACTTTTGTCATTCGTCAAACGAATAAAGATTGTTGAATAGTAAAACAAAGAAAGATTGTTGAATAGTATAACATAATCATATATTATCTTTCTAATATCTTGACACTTATAATTATTTTAAAATATAAAATGACACATGTATTGAACATATTTAAAGTTTTCAACTACAATTAATATAAAATAGAAGAGTATCCATGTCCATTATGAAAAAATACCCACATGGTCACAGAGTCAAGGTCGAATACTTATTATGTTTCTTATTATCGGTTGTTTTAAGATTGTGTTTGAAAATATTAAAAAAAAACAATTATTTTTATCTCTTATAGACAACAAAATTATTAGCTATTTATCTAAATACAATTCAAATAATAGTACAATATAACTGCATAATATAAATAGTTATATAAAAGAAAAATAATAAACAAATTATTTTATCTAGTCTGAAAAAAAAAAAAAAAATTTAAACAGTCAAATCATAAAAAAAACGAAAAGAATATACAAAATTGTTGAATAAAACATGAAAAGAAAAACTTAATAGGTTTATTATGTTACATTAGCCCGAACATTTATCAAAAAGGAGGAAAATGTTTCATGAGCCCCAATAATGATAGCCCATATTAAAATCTTTTGGCCCATCAATTCCAGTTTCGGCATTAGCCCCCCTCCACTCCCTCAGCCCTAAAAGTAAAACTTAGCTGCTTTCTCTATCCCGTCGTCGACAATGGAAGTTTCTTCTTCTATACCCGAACAAGTGCTTCAGCCCCTTCTCCGTGCTTCGTCATCCAATCCATCACACTCTCTAGAACAATGTTTACAGTTTCTCATAGAATCTTCAAAGACCGATTCTGGCCGCTCAGATCTGGCGGATATTCTTCCATCGATCATCACTCTTCTCCAGCTTCTTCCCTATCCTTCTTCCCGCCATCATCTCAGCCTCTCTCTGAAACTCCTCCGAAACCTATGCGCCGGAGAGACCAGGAACCAGGAGGCCTTCGTGGATCACGACGGCTCTCTCGTCGTCTCCGAGCTGCTGGATTCGGCGATTGGAGATGCCGAGACCGTTAGGTTCGGATTGCAGGTTCTGGCGAACGTTGTAGTGATGGGAGAGAATCGCCGGCAGAGCGATGTGTGGCTCCGGTTTTTCCCGGAGAGGTTTTTGGCTATTTCTCAATTAAGGAGGCGTGAAACGTGTGATCCTCTCTGTATGATTTTGTATGTTTGCGTTGATGGAAGCAGCAACGAGATACTTTGCAGCGATGATGGACTCAACATTGTTGCTGAGACTCTAAGGACTTCTTCTTCAGGTGAGTGACTAAGTTGCAACACAAAATCGTCATCAGTCCCTGAGACCAATGTTCAAGAAATCGTTAGGCGGTGGCGCTTTATATAAGATTATTGATTAGGCCAATTTTTTGTTTTGAACATAGGCTCTGACTAAACCTATTTTTACATGTACATAGGTCCTCAGAAAAATAATTTTTATGCCCTCAAATTAGTTAACGAAAAATTTTAGCTGAAATTTTTAAAAATCGTCTAGAGGCCCCCAAAATCTCAGAGCCGGTCCTGCTTAATGTTTAAGGCATTAGTGATTCAGTTTGATCAGATATGGAACCAAAACTACTAAGGTTTTATTAATGATTTTTTTTTTTTTTTTGTAGTTGGGTCTGTAGAGGATTACTGGCTGAAGCTTCTGGTGTCGAGACTCTGTGTTGAAGGAGATTGCTTCCCTCGCCTCTTTTCCAAATTAGGCCGCAAGGAGGAAGCTGGGAACGAGATATTTACATCAGAACAAGCTTTTCTTTTGAGGATGGTGTCTGACATTGCTAACGAGCGGTTAAAAGAAGTGTCTATCCCCAAGGATACAGCTCATTTTCTTCTTGGTTTACTCAGGAAATCAGTTGTTGAAGTTTTTGGTTTTGTTTCGGGTGAAAAAACTGAGCTTCCGACGGGTTCAGCTGTTATCGACGTAATGGGTTACTCTCTTGTTATAATAAGGGACGCTTGCGCTGGAGGAAGCATCGAAGAACTTAAAAACGATTCAGGAGGTAGTGGTAATGTCGAGATGCTCTTGTCCTCTGGATTAATAGAGCTTCTCCTTGATCTGCTTCGTAGACTTGAGCCTCCAACAACGATAAAGAAGGCTCTAAAGCAGAGTCCTACTTCTGGAAGGCCTTGTCCTTACAGAGGCTTCAGGAGAGATATTGTGGCTGTGATTGGGAACTGCGCGTACAGACGGAAAGAGGTACAAGATGAGATCAGGGAGAGAGATGGGCTGTTTTTGATGCTGCAGCAGTGTGTGACGGACGATGAGAATCCGTTCTTGAGAGAGTGGGGTTTGTGGTGCGTCAGAAACCTGCTAGAAGGGAACGAAGAGAACCAGAAGGTGGTGGCAGAGTTGGAGATGCAAGGCTCTGTTGATGTGCCTCAGCTCCGAGAGATTGGTCTCAGAGTTGAAATTGATCCTGTAACTTCCAGACCAAAGCTTGTCAATGATACCACCTGAAGGAAACGTGTTATTTATTAATTGTTAAATTAGTATGATTCAAGTTGTTTTTTGCCCACTCATGTATCATGATGCTGCTCCGTTAAGTAATAGCCAGGTTTGGGTTTGGATCATCTAAACAATACACGGTAAGCAGAAACAGCACCACCTTAATCTTATTATTATAGTATTTACGCGAGCAAATGTCTTAGCCTGGTCAGTTATTGTGTATAAAGGTTTTAGTTACATCCCAAAAGAGAAATGTCCCAAGTGGAGTCGAACATGAGATTGTAGCACTACTTTGCGTATGCTTTATTTGTGAGAAAGGTTCCTCTAGTACAGGAAACTCTTTGATTTCCTTTTTAATATATGATCGAACTTTTTGTTGTTGTGTTTCCTTGCCCCTTACCTATGATAACTATACTATGCATGAAAATATATTGCTTTTTTTGAGAAAAATGTTGCAAAAATTGGAGAAAGGAGCTTCTTCTTTTATTTTTGCAAAATTATGGTAAAACCCACCCCATTTAAACCCACCCCGTTTAAGACCCACCCCATTTATAACTCATATCCGTTTAGACCCATTTAAAAATAGATTTATTAGGGCTATCTATTTAAATTTAGTAATTTTACTCTAACCAATTTAGACTCACTTAAACAGTTGTTGACTTTTTATTCTAATTTTTTGTTTCCAATTAAAATTACGTTTTTCCGCCAAAACCAAAAAATTACATTTTCTTGCCAAACAAATAAATTACGTTTTCCGCCAAAACCAAGAAATTACGTTTTCCCGCAAAAACCGAGAAATTACGTTTTCTCACCAAAACCGAGAAATTACGTTTTCCCACAAAAACCGAAAATTATGTTTTCCCGCAAAAACCAAGAAATTATGTTTTCTCACCAAAACCAAGAAATTATGTTTTCTCACCAAAACCGAGAAATTACGTTTTCTCACTAAAACCGAAACATTACGTTTTCTCGCCAAAACCAAAAATTACGTTTCCCCGTCAAAACTGAAAGTTACGTTTTCCCGCCAAAACCGTAAGATTTTGGTTTTTCCGCCAAAACTAAGAAATTGCGTTTTTCCGCCAAAACTGAAAAATCACGTTTTCCCGCCAAAACAAGAAAAAATTACACTTTTCTACCAAAACTGAGAAATTACGTTTTTCAGTCAAAATCTAGAAATGACGTTTTTGTGGGAAAATCTCGATTTTGGTGAGAAAATTTTATTTTTGGTTTTGGTGGACAATCTCGATTTTCAATTTTGGTGGAAAATCTCGATTTTTATATTTTCGCTGAAATATCTTAATTTTTGGTTTTGGAGGGAAATCGCGATTTTCGGTAAGAAAACTCTATTTTCAGATTTGACAAAAAAATGATTTTAGGTTAATTATAAAATTAATTATTGTATAAATATTATTTAAAGTAAAATAAATAAACTAAATTTAAATTATAGAAAAACCATAAATGGGTTTAATGGATCCCCTTTTATTTTAGTCAATTTATTTAATAAATAAGCTTTAATAGGATTATCCATTTAAAACCCGACAAACTAAATAGGTCTAAATAGGCATTTATTTATTTTCTTAAACCTATTAAAAACCCAATAATCCATTGTAACATCCTATATGGGGCTTTGAGTTTGAAAACATTCAAGGGGATACTAATCTTAATTTTATAAAAAAAATTATTAAAGGAGACAAATGTTATAGAAAACAGAGTTTAGCTCTCAACGGGAGCAAGGTTAGAATGGCCTCGGATGCCTGTAATCCACTTCCAGGCAATGAACTTACCGTTAAGGTATAGTTTACAAGATTGCTTCCTTACATAGCCCCCTATAGTTTCCTAAAGAAATAAAGTAAAGGCTTCTCTCTCGCCGTCTACTTAAATTTTCGCCAAGAAAATGTTGTTAATCTAACCTATGTGTCTCTACATACATCTGCTTCTTCCTTAGGCTACCTCTTCTTGTTTCTCTCGTTAAAACAGATCCACTGGTGGATTTCTCTTCCTGCTCTCGCAATCCTCTTCTTGAGCCTTTTTCACAGCTTGAATTTCAAACAAACCAAATGGGATCAAATTTTTATTGATGGTTACAAAGTACAAGCAAAGAGGCATGCTGGCTTACCTTCCGATTATGTTCTTCACTTTGGTTATGGAGAAGCATGTTATATTCGTCGTAGCCGGGATAATTGCAAACTTTGCAAAAATGTCTAAGCTCGCCATAGTCTTTGGGCACTATCTCAAACAACTGCACACACACAGGTTAGGTGACAATTTTACAAAATGTAATAAGGATACTAAAAAGCTGAGGAGGATGCTGCTAAGCGTACCTTGTTTCTGTGTTCTTCACTCTTGAGATGAGTGATGAATTCGATCGGTACATATTTCGAAAGTATCATAGCATATTTCGCAAATGAAGAGAGGTTCATCATCGATCTCACCACATGTACTCATGTTGTCATTCAATAAAGTTTCCCAGACAAACTCTTTGAGAAACTACAAAAACCGAAACACGATCTCGTTTGCAATCGTAATACCAAAAAAAGAGAGAACCATTAGATGTTAGTATAGGCTGAAAGCTGAAAGCTACAAGGTACACAATTCTTCTATTGAATGTTTGGCAAAATTTACAGTTTTATTATATATATTTTTGACTGAATCAGCGAATATGGTTAGTGAGTGATGATGCGAAGCTTCATATTGGTGCCATTTATAATATTCATCAGTCCCTTCCTCCAAATTAAATGTCATCAAGATTTAGTATTACAATCCGTACTTAATTAGCTAATATTTTATTGAGTTTTACATTTCTCAATGACTAAACGGGGGAGCATATATAATACTAGTAAAGAGATTAATTAGTTGGATGCTGATTCAAAGACGAGGTGACATGAATTTGAAGCCCTAACTCTAGCCAACTCGTTTAGCATGTCACGTTTCTCTTCCAAGGTTTCGACATCTTCCGGTTCTGTATAGAAAGTTGCTTTCTTCAACCATCTTGCATTCTTTAAAATGTATTTTGCCACTTCTACCTCTTCTTTTCGTTCCCATAGGTAATTTGTCCACTGGAATGTCACAAGATGGAATAACAAACATTCCGGTACAGATTTTGGACGTTTCTTCCATTCGCCGTCCAATCGTAAGGAGAATATTGGTCTATTGTTATAATAATCATTTTCCTGAAAAAAATGATATTAGATATATCTCATCAAATTAAGTACCCTGCCTGAAAGTGGAGGAGCTGTATATGAGTAAAAAAAAAAAAAAAAACTAATTAAAATTGCTTACGGTGTAAATGAGCTTGAGGATTTGCAATTTAGGAGAATTATTGAGCATGCGCGCAAGTAGACTCGACCACTCATTTTTACGTGTATTCAGCTCCAGAGATACCAGCTGATAGAAGGTAATACCAGTAGGACACTTGATCTGTCCATTAAATATTTAATTAGTATATAAAACAAAAGGATGAACAACACTAAAAAAAAAAGAGAGTATATATCGTACGTACCTTAAAGGGTGAAAAGTCTAAAGAAAGACGTTTTACTGAAGTTATAGAAGCCAAAATATCCTCATTGTGTACATGGATATCAATTATAACGCCTACGATTTTAGCCTCCACCAGCTGTTCTGTCACATTTTCAATCAGAAAAAACCCATAACCCTCGCCTGGGCTGAGGAGTCCTAACCATTCAAACCCGACCCCTTTGATGTTCAAGTATTTCAAACAAGGGGCGTTTATCACATAGCCTCCATTAGCTTTGCCTTGGAATGTATCTACTATGGTTAGTCTCTGTAATGATGGAACCGCAATGGTGAAAGTCTCTGCATCATAATTGCCCCTTCGGTCCACAGTCAAATCTTCGAGAATAGGGCAGCCACTTAAAAGATTGCAAACAGATTCCTCGTCTCTGAATTTCACATTTATAAGGTGCAGCTTTTTAAGGGACTTCAAACCAACCCGACAAGGGAAGTCTAAACGCATAGTACTGAGTTCCAATATTTCCAGTGTGTTATTACAGCTGCAGAAAACACTCGGAAATCTAATAGAGCCGTCCTCATATGTATAACTGGAAAACTGCGCCATAATGGAAGTCTCTGCATCATAATTGTTCCTTCTGTGCACAACCAAATCTTCGAGAATAGGGCAGCCACATAAAAGGTTGCAAAGAGATTCGTCATCTTTGAATTCCACATCTATAAGGCGCAGCTTTTTAAGGGACCTTAAACTGACCTGACAAGGGAAGTCTAAAAGCAATACCATACTGCTGAGTTCCAATATTTCCAGTGTGTTATTACAGCTAAAGAAAACACTACTCGGCAATATTCTTCTAATCAAGTCGCCGTCGTCATAGTCTTTATTTAGAAGAAGCTCCAGCACTAATTTACGCACAGGGCGTGCAAATGCAACTCCAATCAATATTTCTATATCATCTGAAGCTTCAGATTCATAAATATTTACCAAATAAAGACACTCCAGAATCGGAGAGCTACATGAAAGCAAAGACTTGCAAACAATCTCTGAAAAACTATGGCTTTCACTTTTGTCGTGATCATCACCATAAACAAACTTGATGCTTGGCACCATCTTCCAAAGAGATCTCCAACTCTTTGACAAAACACTCGTCGCTGTGACATCTTTTGTTGAAAGTGAACATAGTATCTCTATAATCAAATCTCTAGGCAGCTCACTGATCCTGTCCATCACTTTTTGGTTTCTCAAACTTTCTCCACCGGTTTTGCTGTAAGAGTTTTGATTAGTTTCTTTTTCTTAAATATTAGGGTTGGGTACTTTGGTGTTTACAAACGCAAAAAAAAAGAGGTTAACACAAAACCCTAACAAGTACGCATAGAATATTCAATTATATTTATACTAGGTGATTTTCCCGTGCTCATGCACGGGTATAAATATTTTTAAAGTAAATATATGATAATAATTGATTACTATTTAGTTTAATTTTCAATTAATTTATAATTTGTATGTATATTTTATATTAATAATATTATATTACTTTAATTATTCTTTAATTTTATATATGTTATATCTAGTCGATTTTGTTGTTTTTACGGTTGATTTAGTTATCATTTGCATAAATTGGATTGTTTCTCTGAATTCACCTGTAATATTTTAAAATATATTATTTTTTTATTAATTACATATTTGCATATAGTAGGTGTTGTCTTAAATATGTAAATATATTTTAGTAAAATTATGTATAACTTAAGATATATTGTGCTTAGAATGAATTAAAAAATAACTAAAGTGTCTGATTCCAAAATACGTAAATTAATATAAAGATAATATTCTAAAGTCTCATGCATATATATAAATTTTACAAAAAGAACTAAAATTTTAAGAGTTGGTTAATATTTATTTTCATTTATTAATATGTTTTGTGTTATTCTATGATCAATAAAAGGCTACATGCATAAGTAGTTGATATATTTTTGGAACCTCATAAACACATATCAATATTTACAATAATTAAAATATTTAGAAATTCTAACTTTATGCTTTAGATTTATTGAATGTAAACTGAAATTTATTTTAAATAATCTTAAAATTGGAAATTCAGATTTGCTTTGGTATTTTGATTATGGTTATATTTCGCTTCACAAAAATAAAAATTTAAAATCTAAAATAAAATTTAATATTAAGAAAAATATAATTTTAATAATGATAAAATTATTTGATCAAGCAATGTTTATTCTTAAATTTAGTTTTTATTTTTAATATCTCTTAAAAATAAGCACTACATAAAATTATGATTGTATTTGAAAATAATATTATATAAGTAAAATATAATTTATAGATAATTTTCTGTAGTTGAAAGATATTATAGTCAACTTAATATATGAACAATAAATAAAAAAATCAATAATACTAATTAGAAAATATTTTTATTACTCTAAAAGTATATTTTATGTTATTTGAAAATATTTTTAAATGTATTATTACTATTTTGTGAACTTTCCTTTTTTATGAAATCATATTATATATACATATATTTTTCGTTTTCAATTTGTTTTTATGACTTTATAAAAAAATTCCTTTTTATTACATATATTTTTGAAAATTTTTGAAAAGGAAATTAAATAAAAGAATTAATAATATTATTTTAACTATTTTTAATTCATTAAGGGTATCAATGTAATCAACCATCGTGAGAGTGAACGTGAGAGCGACACATAGTAAACTGACTTCTCAAATAATATTATAGAGATATACAGATCTATATAATTTTTGAAGTTTAAATATGATACTCTTCCAAATATATTTCTGAATTTTTAGGAATATATTTTTTTTAAATATTTAAAATGCTTTAAATACATTTAAAAGGGTATGAACAGAATCTTCTTATATATTAAAACAGAAACATGACTTGATTTCATGTGTGATTTTTTAAATTTTGGACTTATTCCTAGAAATGAGAGTTATATTAAATTCTCTAATCTTATCATTATTATATATTATGAAAAATAATATCTATAATAACAAACATACGCTTAAAAATTTGGTTTGGGTAAATTACCCCACACATTCCATCTTAGTCACACAAAATATGTCAATAGATATAAGTTTATGAATCTTCTATTATTTATAAGGAAATATGTCAATAATAGTTAAATGCATCCACGATATATTAACAAAAATCACAGATTCGTAATATAGAATATTTATATATATGTGGAATAGATCTAACAGAATATTCACCCTCCGACAACGCAAAATGTGTAAATAGATATACATTTAGGAATCTTCTATTATTTATAAGTTACATTTAGTTTGGGTAAATTACCCACACCTGCGACATATTTTATTATCTTCGCAAATTAAAGTATACTAATATTTAACAAATAATAAAATATAGAAGAAGAAACAAACACATGTTTGAAAAACATGTATAATATAGAAAATTTCAAAACAATCTATTTGATTAAAACACATATTATATAATATTATTATGTTTGAAAAACATTTACTATACACATTGTAAACATGTAATTACTATAATATATACCAATTTACAAGTGAAAACAAAATGTTTATATAACTAACTATAAACAAAAAACAAACACCCGCGCGGTTGTGCGGGTCAAAATCTAGTTTGAAACTTAAATGGAATGGATCTCAAATGCACGGGTTTAAATAGGAAGAGTTGATCCATTATAATTGAACAGAATCTATACTATTAAAACAGAAGTCATTTTTTGAGAGTGCCCTTTTCTTTTAACAGTAACTAGAGCTTGACCCGCCCGACCGTTCGGGTATTTGTTTTCATTTTTATGTATATATGTATATATATATTTTTTCAAATGTCTATATTTTATAATTTATTTGTTTTATTCAATTAATTATTTCAAAGTTATATGTATTTGTTGCTCTTTATTATATATATTTTTGGATTTGTGTTTAGTTATTTGACAAACTAATATATGCAAAGTTTCAAATTTAACAAATATATACAAAGTTTCGAAAATTTGAAAATTATTATATATTTCCTTTTTATAATACTAAAACTAACAAATAAATATAGTTTCAAATTAAGTTATAAGTAGTAGTAAGAAAATAATTATTGTTTAGTATTTTTTTTTAATTTTATGATGAAAGATTTTTTAAAAATAAAATAAGTTATTTATTAATTTTAGATAATTTTTTAATATTTTTTCATATAGTACTTTATTTTAGTATAATATATACTATAATTATATATTTTATGAACATATCATAATTTGTTATAATAAAATTTTAATTAACATTTATTTGAATAAAATTATAATACTAATTTCGAAATTAATTAATGCATTATTATATAAATATATTTAAAAGGATTTGTAAGATTTTGTTAGATCTTTTTCAACAGAATTTATATAGTTAAAAATAAAATTAAAATTTTATAGGTGAAGTTGTTATATATGTTGATTATATAAGATGTGATATCTTAATGATGCCAACATTGTAATAAGAATAAAAATAAAATCTGATTTCTAGTAAAAGTCCATTTTTTAAGCTATGATTTGTATCAATCGGTTTCACCCGATGCAAGTGGGTTTGACCCGAGTTTAAAAGATTGACAAAATCTTTGATATCTAACCGTCCATATTTTTTTATTGAGGGTACTTCATTCTAAACGAATACTATGCATTGCTATCTCTATAATATTATTTGAGAAGTCAGTTTCCTATGTGTCGCGCTCATGTTAACTCTCGCGATGGTTGATTACATAGATACCCTTAATGAATTGTTAGATTTTAAATTTATTAATTTTTTTTATTTATTTTCTTTTTTAATTTTTCCAAATAACATATATAATAAAAAGGAAATATTTCTAAAATTTTAAAACAGATTTAAAAACGAAAATATATGTATATAATATGACTTTATTAAAAAGGAAAGTTCACAAAATAGTATTATACCCCATTAATATATATTTTTAAATAACTTATAATATATTTTCTAAATAATAAAATATATATATTCATGAACATCCAAAATTTATCAGTTGCACTTTATTTTCTAATATTTTTAGAAATCAACATATAATTTGATGAAAATACTTGTATATTTAACGATAAATAAAATTAATTTGATTTGACTTAATTAAAATAAGGAATAAATAAATATTATGAAAATACATGTATATTTAAGCGGTAAATATAACTAATTTTATTGGACTTAACTAAAATAAAAAGTATTTATACTTCAATTTTAACTCAATATACTCACAACATGAATGACTCGACTAATCTAATTTATATCCAAAATTAAACATCTAACTACAATAAGAACATATAATTTTATAGTAATAATAATCTAAATATTTTATACATATAAATTAGAGGTTAACTCAAAGCATATTAAAAAGAAAAAGAAAATATTAGCAAATTACAATTTATTCTTTTGTACAATTTATATGTATGCATGAGACTTCAAAATATTATCATTATATTTATTTATGTAATTTTGAATCAAACACTTCAGCTTATTATTTATTTTAGTTTAAGCAGACTATATGTATATATATATATATTAAGTTATATATAATTTAACTATAATATATTTACATATCTAAGACAATAACCAACCGAAATGAAAATAAGAAAATTAATCAAAGTTTTATTATATTTACAATAAAAAATATTATAGCTGAATTCGAAAAATAAATATTATCCAATATACCAAATTGATAACCAAACCAACTATTGATCCAAAAAATAACTAAACCGACAATAAAATATCCAAAGTCATATGTATAATTAGAATAATATAATATTATTAATATAAATTATACATATAAATTAATACAAAACTAAAACGAAATATCAATCAATTATTATAAAATTTTATTTTTATGAATATTTATATCCGTGCATGAGCACGGGAAAATCACCTAGTCAAAATTATATGTATAAAATAAAGGTTCCGCCTACGTTTTCAACCATCTTCAATTGTTGTAACACACTGGTTTTCATTGTTTAAACAGTATATGTATGTACCAAATTTTTGATATTGAAGAAGGGAAACTAGTCCGAAAATTTCTTAAGAGTTTGCCACGCAAGAAATATATACATATCGTTGCGTCTTTAGAGAAAGTACTCGATCTCAACAACACAAACTTTGAAGACATAATAGGACGTTTAAAAGCATACGAAGAATGTATCTTTGAAGAAGAAGAAGCAGAGGAAGATAAACGGGAGCTACTGTATGAAAATTCTGATCAAAGAAAGCTGATGTGTGCAAATTATAATGGGCAAAACAGTCAAGCAAATCGAAGCTACAATGGACAATCTGACCAAAACAACTATACGTATGGAGATAGTTATAGAGGCAAAGGTCATGGAGGATGCTTACATAGGGAAGAGGACGAGGAAGATACAATATGGAGAGAGATACGTCCAAAGTAGTATGTTATCGATGTGATAAGGTAGGGCACTTTGCAGCTGACTGTCCCGATCGTTTTCTCAAGCTGCAAGAAACCCAAGAAACTGACAATACAGATACACAAAACGACGCCTGAACTCATGAAGCATGAGGTTGTGTTTCTAAACGAGAAGAATGTATTGCCAGAGAAGTATGAAACAAATACTAGAGGTGAGAACATATGGTATCTCGGCACCGGAGCAAGTAATCACATAACGGGAGATAAGCGATACTTCTCTAAGATAGATAATACAATCACTGGAAAATTACAATTCCATGATGATTCGAGGATTGATACTAAAGGCAAAGGGACTATTTGTTTCACGGATATGAATGGTGAATCGAGGAAGATGAAGGATGTGTACTACATTCCAGATTTAAAGAGCAACGTCATCAGCCTTGGTCAAGTTAAAGAAGCTGGATGTGACATACAGATGAGAGGGGAGATGAGAGGGGAACAACTAACGATGCATGATCATACAGGAAAATTGCTTGTTACAGCCAGCAGATCGAAAAATCGGCTATACAAAGTGTACATGGGGATCAAAAGCAACTCATTCTTACATCTTACATCAGCAGACGAATCAAGCAAATGGCAAGCGAGGTTAGGACATATAAATCTTGAATCGATTAAGTCAATGATACAGAAGGAACTCGTGATAGGACTTCCAAGTATTACTATGGAGAAGGAGGCACGTGGTTCGTATCTAATGGGAAAGCAGAGCAGACAAGTATTCCCTCAAGTTACCTTATATCGAACTTCCAAAAGACTTGAACTACTTCATTGAAATATTTGTGGCCCCATAACACCAAGCACACAAGCAGGAAACAAGTATATTTTTGTGCTCATTGACGAATCGAGATACATGTGGAGTATCTTGATGAAAGATAAAAGTGAACCTTTTGAAAGGTTCAAAAAGCTCAAAGTTCTTGTAGAGCAAGAAACAGGGGAGAAGATTCAAACGCTAAGAAGGGAGGAGAGTTCGTGTCACATGACTTAAACAATTTCGGTATGAGTGCTCCTAATACCCTTCGATTTGGTTTTCCATCTGACGGCGTTAGTGCTGAATTAGCTAGTTAGCTAACTAGTTTCTTCTTCCCGCGTATGGCTACGTGACGTTTTTTTACCGCCAAGCATGTCTACAACGGAACGTCTACACGTCACGATGCTTTTTTTAATCGCTGCAAATACGTGCCATCCTGCTCGTTTCACGAATTTATTTTATATAAAATCACTAGTGTTCATGACCTACATGATTATAATTCTTATATTAAAAATTAAATTAAATATGTTAAAAATCAGTATTAAACAATATAATTTATATGTTTATACTAGGTGTTTTGCCCGCACATGCGAGCTTAATTATCTTTAAGTCAATTTAAAAAATCATCAAAATAAATAATTATTCATCCAAAAAATTCGACCTAAAACATTAATTTTTTTTACATGATGAAGTTATTCACAAATTTTTTAAAAAAATTATTTTTTCCTTTGAAACTTTGAAAAAAATCTAAAGTATATTTTATTTCTTCTTAATTGATAAAAAATATAGAAACCTATCTTTCAATTTTGATAAATGGAATTGATAAATATACATTCAAAAATTGATCTTACAGAAAGAATAATATTAGTTTGGATAATAATACAATATATTTGAATTTATTTTTATCAAACACTTATTTTCTTTCTTTTTGAATGATCTTTTATTTTATTATGATTAATTTATGTTTAATGTTTAACTATATAAAATATAAAAATAAATTTAACTTAACGTGTTCGTCTAAAGGCGAAAATATATATCATTATACTATATTATTATATATTTTTAATTTAAAATAATTACGTATTGTAAATTTTTCCTTTTTCTCTTTTCAATTATATACAATTAAAATTTTTTTTATGAATATTTATTTATTTCTGTGTTTTCTGTTTTCGTTTTTTATTAAAATATATTTTCCGGATAACAACACAATATATATAGTAATTATCTTTTTGATTTTTAAATAGATATTTAGATTTTGGATAATTCTTATCATTATTATTAATATAAATCATTTATCTAATCAAATAAATATCAAATTCGTTTTTATTTTTGGCTGATTTATATATTTTATTCATTAAGGGTATAAACGATATTAATCACTTCAACTTTTAACGTGTATACAATTAAAAATGTTCTTTATGAATCTTTATTTATTTATGTGTTTTATGTTTTTGTTTTTTATTAAAATATATTTTCCGGATAACAACACAATATATATAGTAATTATCTTTTTGATTTTTAAATATATATTTAGATGATGGATAATTCTTATCATTATTATTAATATAAATCATTTATCTAATCAAATAAATATCAAATTCGTTTTTATTTTTGGCTGATTTATATATTTTATTCATTAAGGGTATAAACGATATTAACCACTCCAAATTTTAACGTGAGAGCTCCATTGCGAAAAATCACTTCGCAAATAATAGTATAGATTTTAAGTTAATAGTTCTGTTCAATCATTTATTAATTATTGTTTGTCAATCAGAATAATAAAACTAAAATAAATTATTCAAACATTTAAATACATTTATATATTTCAAAATTTAAGAGAAAGAAATACTAGTAAATAAATAAAAGGTGCATAAACATATATTAAATATTATTTCAAAAATGGTTGTATAAGTATATATATTTTATCAGATTTTTTAATTTATGTATAATTTTACTGTATATTTGTGACATGTGTCAAAGATGACGCATATCTCATTAGTTGTGAGGACTCAATGTTTATTATATAGTATCTTATATATTAAAACAGAAGTCATGACTTCACTTCATGTGTGATTTTTTAAAAAATAGACTATTACTAGAAAGTCATGTTACATTAACTCTCTAATAATCTTATCATTATTATATCTTATGAAAAATCATATATATAATAACAAAGATACGCTTAACAATCTGGTTTTGGTAAATTACCCCACACCTTCCAACTTAGTCACGCAAAATATGTCAATAGATATAATTTTAGGAATCTTCTATTATTTATAAAGAAATATGTCAATAATAGTTAAATGCATCCACAATATATTAAAAAAAATCACAGATTAGTAATATGGAATATTTATATACCCTAACAAAATTTACACGCAATATATACTAGATAAATTTATTTTGATGTAAATTTTTAAAATTATAGTGTTTTAAAATTCTTTACAATATTAATTTATGAAGCTGTAAGTTTAGTTTTAGCAAAAATTTCTTCAAAATTTATATTATCTTTGCAAATTAAAGTATACTAATATTTAATCAAGCTCTATTTATATTAATTTATCTAAAAATGAAATACCAAATCTAAAAAATAATAAAATATAGAAGAAGAAATAAACACATGTTTGAAAAACATGTATAATATAAAAAATTGGAAACAATCTATTTGATTAAAACACGTATTATACAATATTATTATGTTTGAAAACATTTACTATACATATCGTAAATATGTGATTACTATAATATATATCAATTTGCAAGTGAAAACAAAATGTTTATATAACTAACTATAAACGAAAACAAACACCCGCGCGGTTGCGCGGGTTAAAATCTAGTAGATATTTAAATTCAACATAGCATACTAAGAAGAAAGATAAACATACTTGGTATGTAATCACAATTAGTTATGATATTTATTAACAGTATGCTATTTGAAACACATATATGGTATTAAATTATTAATTACTATGAATTTTTGTGCCAAAATGAAAGTGATTATTACATAAAATTGGGTATGTTTGACCAGTGCTGTTTGTGCAATTATTACGGTGAGATTCAGCCAAATTGTGCCATTACATTAAGGGAGGTTTTGTTTTATTCCAAGGAGCTATCTTAAAATAACAGTAACCAATGCTGCATCGACACAAAACCCACCTCCGTTTTCATAGGATAAATAATTATTATTTTAATAAAAAGTGCCAAATCAGTTTCATTTTCTCCTAGAAAACCTTGAATCTCATCACCTTCAATACTACAAAAGACGGTGGTGGTGTAGTCTTGTTTCTTCAAAGCCTTAAAATCTCAATCAATAAGCTAATTAGCGATGGGTGAAAACAAACACAGAGATCAAAAGTCACTTTCAGTTGAGAAATCTAATAATAAACCCATTTTTTCTTTTTACTTTTCATCTTCTTCACCGTGCTCTTTTACTGCCATCATCATCCTCCTCATCTTCTTCACTTATTTCTTATACTCTTTCAGTTTCATCACTTTCTTACACCCTTACTCTCCTTCTAGAATCTCCAACTCTCTCCTCGTACCCGTGATGCGACTCGGATCCGGTCAACAACCTGACGAAAAGACAGAGCTTAAACACATCGTGTTCGGCATCGCCGCGTCCTCCAGCCTATGGAAGCGTCGGAGTCAATACGTGAAAACATGGTGGAAACCAAACGGTGAGATGAAAGGTTTCGTCTGGCTAGACAAACCCGTAAACGACACCGTTTCCTTCCCCTCATGGGCCTTCCCCGAGATCAAAATCTCTTCGGACACGTCGAGTTTTAAGTATCGTTATCGTAGCGGTCACAGATCAGCCATCAGGATCACAAGAATCGTGTCCGAGACGGTGAGGCTGTTAAACGGGACTGAGTCCGAGAGACACGTTAGGTGGATTGTGATGGGTGACGACGACACAGTGTTTTTCCATGAGAATCTGCTTAGGGTTTTGAGGAAATACGATCATAAGCAGTTTTATTACATTGGAGCTCCCTCAGAGAGTCATTTGCAAAATTTGCATCAGTTCTCATACGGAATGGCGTATGGAGGAGGTGGGTTCGCGATAAGTTATCCCTTAGCAAAGGCATTGGAGAAGATACAAGATCGGTGTATCGAAAGATACTCTGATCTTTATGGTTCTGATGATAGGATTCATGCTTGCATGGCAGAGATTGGTGTTCCTCTCACCAGAGAACCTGGCTTTCATCAGGTCAGTTTTTTTTTTCCCTATTTTGGTTTTTTTTTTAATGTTTTTATTTAATTTAAATTTGAGGTTTTAGTTTTACCGAGTAAAATTAGGCGAAAAGTATACTGTGAAAATGTAAGAACACTTAAAATCCGTGATCTGGTTCATTTTCTGCTATTTTATTTGTTACCTAATCAACATTTGAGATTTACTGGAATTGAACTTTAACAGATTAGAAGATTTTAAAAGTCAAGATATTTATTAAATTTCATAGCTTTATACTCTTTCCGTTTCAGTTTAGTTGTCATTTTGAGTTTTTGCACATAAATTAAAGAAACATTTAATTTTACATATTTCAAGATAAAAACACAATTACCAATACACCTAACAACTTTTCAACCAATAGAAAATATAATATTATATAAAATTAATAATTTTTACATCGAAACTCTAAAACGATACTTAATTTGTGACAGAAAAAATTAAGTATAGAATGACAAGTATTCTGAAACGGAAGGAATACTAGATTTGTATTGACTCTGTGTATTTAGTAAATTTATCAAAATTAATGTTCCAATAGTTTTAAAATGCAGGAGATACAAAATTTTAATATACTTATGTAATCAATAAATATTTTTTTGAAAATTAAAAGCCAACAGATTTATTAAATTTCATAGATTTACACTAAATCTGTATAGACTTTGTGTATTTAGCTATTTCATCAAAATTAATGTTCCAATAGTTTTAAAATGCAGGAGATACAAAATTTTAATATACTTATATAATCAATAAATATTATTTTGAAAAACATGGATAGTGAATGAAAATATAAAAACCTCAAGCTAATAACAAAACAAATTACTCCTATAAAATATCAAAACTTTTAAACTCATAACAGTAGATTCCACTAACAATATTAAAAGAATTACACAACAACTTAGAACTCCCATTAACTTCTAAGAGCATCTCCATTGTACATTTCTATATTTTCTTTTAAAATAGAGATCTTTATTATAGAGTTGGATTTGCTCTAATGCATATTTCTATAATATAATTCTTCTATTTTAGAGGAAAATATAGAGGAATACTATTTTTTACTTCTATATGAATGTATGTATATATTTTGATTTTTTTTTTTAATTGTCAACAAGGTGTATTTTGATTAGAGATCCAAATTAGAGAAGTAATGATATGTTTCAGCTAATCTTATTATTAATATCGGTGTTTTCTTATATGTAATACTCAACAGTTTGATGTGTATGGGAATCTCTTGGGTCTTTTATCAGTTCATCCACAAGTGCCATTAGTCTCAGTCCATCACCTAGACGTAGTAGAGCCTATATTTCCAAGAACTAACCGAGTCGATGCCGTAAAGAGACTCATGATCCCAGCAAAGCTCGATTCAGCTAGCCTCCTTCAACAGTCCATATGCTATGACACAGCCCGTCAGTGGACAATGTCTATCTCGTGGGGATACACGGTCCATATCACACGTACTTATATGCCAGCAAGGATGATGGAAGTGCCCACTCGCACCTTCAACGACTGGCACAAACGCCACGATTTCACCAATGTTGCTTTCAACACACGTCCTGTAACATACACTGATTGTCAGCGTCCTCGAGTGTTTTACTTGTCTCGTGCGCTCAACGATTCCTCATCAGGCACGACGATTAGCGAGTATTTGAGGCACAATGAGTGGAATCCTAAATGCGAGTGGGGAATACAAGATCCTTCTGATATTAATCGTATCTTCGTCTACAAAAAGCCAAACCCGGATAGGTGGAATAAGGTAACATTGTCATTTTTAACTTTGTTCAGTTTACTATTATTTAAGACAATGTATTTGATTGTTTACGTGTATGTTTATAGGCACCACGGAGAGATTGTTGTCGATTATTGCCTACAACGAAGAAGGGAACTATGGTGATCAATGTGACAGCTTGTGAAAATGACGAAATTGTTGCTTATTCTGATAAGTAGTTCTTTTGTTACTTCACATGGCTTATAAGAAGAGTTTGCTTTCTTATGAGAAATTATTTAGCTTGTTTGTTTACTGTAGTGACATTGTATACTTACGAAATAAACTATATAAAAATCTATCAAAAGTTTCATCATGATTATTTGTCTGTGTGTTAACGACTGTATTAAAAATATTGATGTATCCTGCAAGTACTCAAAAAGGCTTATAAATCGATATATTTGATTTTCTGTAAGAGAAAGTTATCAAAATACTTATTTTTCCTTAAAATTTTCAATTCATTACTCAAAAAGTAAATAGTAGTGTATAAAAATTAAAATACTTTGAAGATTATTTACATCTCAACTGGTACATCAAAATAAGGAACAACATGAAAATGAGGAAATTTTTTTACCCAATAGTATATCATTTTGAGTGAAAATATGAGAATATGAATAGTCATCTATTATATTAAAATTGAAGCACAAAACAATACTTGCGTATTTTTAAGTGATTTTATACAGATTAATTCTATTTTTTATTAATTATAATAACTTCATTTAATATATTTTTAAAAAATTAGACATCATTTATTACAGAAATACAAACCAAAATTTGTCTATTTGTAAGCGTTTTATTATATCTTTTATATTTATTTTCTCGCTCTTTTTAATTACTTCATTAATTATCTTTATTATAATATTTCGACAACATTTATCTACCTATTAATCATATAATAGTTTGACAAGTTTGAATGAAATTTATCTATTTGTGACAAGAAATTAAAATGGTTAACAAAGAATTTTTTATTTGTGTACATAATCAGTTAGTTATAGACATTTGGATACCCATTCAGGTACAAGTTGTTTCTTCCGGGTATTGGGTTTTTTGGTTTGGAAACTAGGGTCCATTTGGGTTTTATAATTTTTTTGGTGGGTTTCGATTCGGGTCTTATCAAGTCCGGATGGATCCGGTTTTAATGTGTAGTAACCTTAAAATATCAAAAACTAATGTATCTGAAACAAGTTCGAATATTTATATCAAAAGTAACCATATTAACCGATTCGGTTTGTGTATTTTGAATCCAAACTAAAGAGTGTGTTATCTGCAATCCCTAACCATGCCATGCAGTGTTTTAAACTTCCTCAATCCCTTTGCAAGAGACTGCAATAAATGATAGATATGGTTGTTTATATCAAAAGTAACCATATCTATCAACTATCTACCTGCTTTGAATCTGTTTCTTTTAGATTTTGTCGCCGTGATCGTCTCTGTTTCGAAGACACGGTTGCAAAAAACGCTTTAGCTAACTCTGTATTATGTTGTACCGGTCTGGATTCGAACGGTTAAGTAATGAAAATTGGGATGTGCACAAAAAAAAAGTTTGTTTACTGTAGTGACATTGTATACTTACGAAATAAACTGTATAAAAATTTATCAAAACTTTCATCATGATTATTGGTCTGTGTGTTAATGATTGTATTAAAAATATTGATGTATCTTGCAAGTACTCAAAAAGGCTTATAAATCGATATATTTGATTTTCTGTAAGAGAAAGTTATCAAATACTTATTTTTCCTTAAACTTTTCAGTTCATTACTCAAAAAGTAAATATTAGTGTATAAAAATTAAAATACTTTGAAGATTATTTACATCTCAACTGGTACATCAAAAAAGGAACAACATGAAATGAGGAAATTTTGTTTACCCAATAGTATATCATTTTTGAGTGAAAATATGAATAGTCATCTATTATATTAAAATTGAAACACAAAAAAATACTTGCGTATTTTTAAGTGATTTTATACAGATTAATTCTATTTTTTATTAATTATAATAACTTCTTTTAATATATTTTTAAAAAAATTAGACATCATTTATTACAGAAATGCAAACCAAAATTTGTCCATTTGTAAGCGTTTTATTATATCTTTTTTATTTATTTTCTCGCTCTTTTTAATTACTTCATTAATTATCTTTACTATAAATTTCGACAACATTTATCTACCTATTAATCATATAATAGTTTGACAAGTTTGAATGAAATTTATCTATTTGTGACAAGAAATCAAAATGGTTAAAGAATTTTTTATTTGTGTACATAATCAGTTAGTCATAGACATTTGGATACCCATTCAGGTACAAGTTGTTTCTTCCAGGTATTGGGTTTTTTTGGTTTGGAAACTAGGGTCCATTTGGGTTTTATAATTTTTTTGATGGGTTTCGATTCGGATCTTATCAAGTCCGGATGGATCCGGTTTTAATGTGTAGTAACCTTAAAATATCAAAAACTAATGTATCTGAAACAAGTTCGAATATTTATATCAAAAGTAACCATATTAACCGATTCGGTTTGTGTATTTTGAATCCAAACTAAAAATAATCAAAAGTAACCATATTACGTGATTTGATTCGAGTTCGATTCTGAAGTGTAGGAATCCAAAAGTATTCAGTTATTTTTACAATTTATTATATAATGCGGCATATAAAACATATAAAATTAATTATGAAAACAAAATATAAATTTATAAAAAGGTTAAAATTAACACCTGTCTCAAAATCAAACTATTTTACACAAAATATTTAAAACTTATATCTATATGTATATAATAATTAAAACATTTATAACATAATAATAATAAAATAGTCAAATATACAACATATAATTTAATAATGATATATAAAATAAATAATAAACATAAATATTAAAAATACATTACTAATCAATACTATTAAATGAGAAGACCATTTTTTTTTATTTCCCCTTGGTTTTCTTTCAATGTTACAAGTGTGTCACCACTATTCAATTTAAAAAAAAAAAATTATCATCAATACTATTAAAACAAAGGACCATTTTTTTTTATATTCCTTTGTTTTTTTTCTATATTAGTATATAAAATCATATCATTTTGGTAAAAAATAATAAAACTGTATATTATAAAAATTATAAAAAATAAAAACTATGCTTAAATCAATGTTTTTAAAATGTATCCAGACATTAAACCGGACGATTTTCGGTCATTGGCTTATTGGTTTGGCTGCGAGTAAACCGTATGTCACTAGTTTAACCATTCAATATATAATTATATATATATATATATATATATATTAAAAATGCAATAAATCTTATGTTGAGAATTTAGTACAGTTTTACATATTTTTTCTTTATATTTTTGTTTCACATAAAAATATAAAAGATACTTTAAACAAGTTGGAGCTATCACATATAATAAAAATACAATAAAATTAAAATGGCTAAGTATTTAAATATCTAATTAAAAAAATTAAGTTTTAAATTTTGAAAAATAACAAGTTAAATTGAATTGAATTATATATCGATTGCCCTTCGGTTAAAATGGTAGCCTCAGGGTTTAGTTATTTTTGCGGGTTTATAGGGGTTCTAAATAATGATTTTTTAACCAAAGTTAATTGTATATTGAGTTACTGAATTTACCTGTTAACCACATGTATTGGTCGAATGCAAGATTGAGTTTTGATGCACTGATTTATTTGCTAAAATCTTTTAAATAGACAAAAATGTAATGTTATTAATGCAGTTTTACATATAAAACATCCCACGTTTTCAAAGTACGAATCAAATCTAAAACAAAATTAAAAAAAAAAACATAACTAAACACAATATAGAACATGTTTTGATTGATTACTTGTGGAGAAAATATAGTAATAAAACTGTTTAATTGAAATTCACTATTTTGTATATGGTTATGTAATTTTATCAATAATAAACAGTTTAATTTACAAAGTAAGATTTTAATTAAAATTTTAACTTTCTTTAAAAAAAAGTGAATCTAATTTTAAATCTTATCAAATATAAAGTGTTATTAGTACTAAATTAAAAATTAGGGAAATGGATATATCAAATTTTGAAAAAAAAAGAAACGAGAGAAACAAATGAAATAAATCACAAATTCATTTTAATTTAATTTTATTTTGTGCGAGAAAATTAGATAAACTCTTGGAGATGGCATTAGATAAAAAAAGATAGCTTGTAACTGGAAAAGTTTTTTTTTTTTTTTTTTTTTGAAACTAACTGGCAAAGTTGTGACTTAAAATTTGCAGCCTTATCAGACTTATCTTTGTTGATGTCAAAAAAAATCTGAAAATAATAAACCTATGGAGGGTCAAAACTCAAAAGCCACGGTGACATCCTCAGATGTTTTTTTTTCCCTCAAATGTTAGCAAAAGAAGAATGGTAAGGCCTCTTCCTCAAAGTCATTTTTTTACTAGTCTTCTTTTAATCCCCTCCACTTCAATATTGATACAAATTTACGTCATATCGACAAAAATGAATTTAAACTCAGTGATATTCATGGAAAGAGTCAAAATGCCTGAACCATGCCCTAGTGAGTACTCTCTTTACAAGTTCCGTACGAGTCATTTCAATATTACAGCGTATAGAGTATCTTATATGTACACTTGTTTGTCCTCTCATGCTCCACAACAACATTAATTTAATCAAAATTAAGAGAAAGGAAATGGATAACAGTGAAAGAGTCTCGGCAAAAACCCCATCATCAGGAGATGAGTTGAAAAGTGTGATTAAGGGATTGATTAAGCTCTTAATGCTGGTCATTTTCCTAGGATACATCTTCATTTGGATCCTCATGCCAACCTTAATCTATCGGACCAAGTGGTTACCTGACATGTGTACTGAATTTGGCTTCTCTACTAATTTTGGTCTCGCAGGTACATACGAACATATTTGTTTGTGTTATTTGTACATATTCACATTATACTTGCTTATTTTATAATTGTTTCTGTTTGGATGGCATGCATGCAGGCCATCTAACATCATGTTGTACCGTAGCGGTCCAACAGGGCCTAAATCTAAAAATAAAATAATACTAAAAAAATTTCAAAAATAAATACATAAATACAGTTTAAAATATCAAACTTTTATACATTCATTTTAAATTTATAGTTTATAATTTAAATAAAACCACAAATATGTATATATAAATATATTAACTTTAAAATTATTTTATTATATCATTAAATATAT